TTAGATTAAATTTTATTAATATATGTATATATTTATAAAATAGAATATACGTAGAATCTCTGGCAATACTCACTCATTTTTAGATTAAAATCAAGACCTAAATATGACATGGATCGCCTAATAACTCTAATGACGTAAAATCATATTGTACACAATACCATATTATATATATATTATTAAAAATAATAAGTATATATTATATATATATGGACAAAAGAAAATGAAAATCTATTGTATCTCGCATCAAAGTAGAATTTTTTTCTGATGCGGTAAAATCTTAGGATACATTTAAACAAGTACGTAAACTGAGGAGAAAAATATCTTGTTAATTGAATGAGAAAATAGCATAATAACGGTGAGCAACTCCAAATAGACGTCCGTAATCAAAGCAAAAAAGCATACCTAAATAAATGGAAGAAAAAACGTATTCGTATTAATACTCTACCGCTAATTTTACCTAAACTAAAAAAAAAGTAATGCTATAAATAATATTCCCATACGTAATGTAATGATTAAGCTGCGCGTATGAGTTCGCACGTACGATGTACTCACGTATCTCCTCACATAGCGAAGTACCTACTTACATACCGTAATTGTAATAGTGTTTTAACATGTAATGTGCAAAATGAAAAAGAATGGAGTAGAATATAATATATGCGTGTGTAAGATTAAACAATTTTTGCAAAAATTAAGTTTCAGTAAGATAGCGAGAGCACTCGCAGAAATATGGTCGTATTTACGGATGTAATAAGCGCTGAGCGTAGCTGATTAAAATATTCACGGAATATATACTTTAAACTATTATTCCAATTCCAGAAAATAATACAGCTTCTTAAGACAAGTGTAATGCTATGATTCATAATAATGATACGATATATATATCGAAGATAATAGTCATTTATGATTAATATAATCAATTTATTTAATTAAATTTACAAGTTTAGATAAAGTGATATATTAAATCGATAAAATCCATTTTTTATTTTTATCTGCAAAGTCTTTAGTAGATCTTTAGTAAGTAATTTTGCGAAATGTTTAATTTACAGTTACAAAAGTAAAGTTGCATTTTAATTTTTTTAAAATTTTCATTCAAATAAGGAAATGTTTGAGCGAAAGGATTCTTGACCAAAAATACATTTTTTTATTATACATCAATATGACATGTTAAGCCCATATTTCGTGCTTGTGCTCGATTTACGCATATAAATATGCAAAAACATTATGGAACAACAGAACATATATTTGTATATTGGTTTCGCTCCACGTATCTGTTATCGTGTTAAGAGTACACAACGTAATTATTGTATATTTTGTGGCCGTAGCCCAAGGATCTTTCGGTTGTTCTGTCGAAATGCCAAAAAAATAAAGAAATATGATCGCGCCTAAACTCCGGCTCATTGTATACGGAACAAAAAAAAAATAATATCGTGGAATCGAAAAATGAGAGAGACGCACGTGACGCGGTTAGCCCCGAGAATCGGTGTATCTATTTGTAGAAAAGTTTTATAGACACATGACTCTATTTACGAACTATTATTATAATATTATTATTATTATCATTATCATCATCATCACTATTAATTATTATTTTGATTTTGTTTTAAAAATTGACCTGTCAGGTCCACCATGTAGTTTCGAATCTACATGGCGGACGTGCGGAGTATTAGTTTTATTATATTATTATTATTATTATTATTATTATTATTATTATTATTAAATATGAATTATTATTGCTTAGTTATGTTTTGATGTTATTGCTACAGACACCATTAATTATTAAGTGGCAGCAGCAAGTACTGCGACGATGGCGGCGCCGATACGTCCGACAAATTAGAGATATACGTAATGCGTAATAATAATTATTATTAAACTTAGTCCGAAGAATTTGTACAGTATGGGGCGATGAGATTTATGGCGGCCGTGTTAGTTTCTATTTACGATTATACATTAAGTCCTTAATTCTAGCGAGGCAGTGTATGGCGAATAAAAGGGATGGCATCGAATCGCGTCGATTTTTACGCGCCTACGTCAGATATCGACCATAGTGTTGGACTTGAGAAATGGATCGACGATGAGGATTAGTAATTTTTCTTACGCCATTACGCATTTCTCTTCCAAAAAGCCTTGAATAAAAAATCTTAACAAGTTAATGAGTCGTGTGTGATTGTATTACTTTATTTGAGGAAAATTTCAATAAATATTGTTGGCG